ACTAAGCCTCGAAATTTTGATACTATATGTCTAGACCTTTGCTCCTTCTATGAACAAAATTTTCAGGCTTGCGTAATATTTGTTAGCCGTTTTTAAAAATCGGCTCAAAACGAGCCATTTAACAACACTACATATACATATTTTATTTTATTTTTATTTTAAAGATATTTAGTATATTACAAATTGATACTATAAAAAATTTGTGTAAATAATATTTTAAGAATCTATATATATAATCACCGTAATCAAGAAATCGTATATCCTTAATGTTAATTTTTATTTTTCATATCAACTTTCCTATCTTCTTAATGTTAATTTTTATTTTTCCTATCAACTTTCCTATCTTCTTAATGTTAAATAAATTGATGGAGACTATATCTCTCTCATGTTAAATTTTAAGAAAAATAAAATTAGATTTCTATCCTTCATAAAATCTTGTGCTTTTGAAAAAACATCCAAAAATTCTATGTTATTATCTATTAGGATTAAAAAATAATTAAAGACAATTTAAATTATACTTATCAAATTAATCAGGCAATTTTTTGAAACTTGTTATCAACAATATTTTATCCAAAACATAAAGTGATAAAATAATCAAATTTTTCTATTCTAAAGACTATAGCACTAGCCATAGTGGAAGTGGCAGTATCTTCAGAATCCTTTAAATTTGTTAAAGCTGCCCTCAAGGCAAGTAGGAAAAATTTACAATAGCTTTATAAGACGATAGCCAGCTTTTATCTAAAATAAGATAATATTAACGAGTGGAATTCTTGATGCGTAGAAATCGTTGCAATTTTGTCCATATATCTTTTAACCCATTAAAATATATATAATCTCGTCTAATTCCTAAAACATTTCGTAATTCATTTATTAATTGTCATAATTGAACAATGATTAAATTTAATCGATGACCAAATAAAAGCTGCCTTTGGCGCCTCGGCTCTAATCAAAGCCTGCACTCCATTGATTCTTCCACTCATGATTGAGTCGCCATCATAGCTTTGCCCAACTAGGAATTCAAGAGGTAAATTCATGGAGCCAAGTTTGGATATTATATTCTTTTTAATATCGAGACCAGTTGTATTTCTCATACAATATATGTCTATCAGTCCTTCAATGGGCTTAGGAGTTTCACTATTTTTAACATATCTTACTATCAAAGCGAATATTCATCAAAGCTAGTGCTTCTGATTTCGAAACATCATATGTGCCATCAACTATGATTGAAAAGCACCTGTTAAATTCAATCTCATTTTGAATTTTTTTTATAACCATATTTTTCATGGTTTCAATGAGAATGTTTATATTATTATATTAATAGATTTGCATATAATTTCGTTTTTAATCCCTTATTGTTTTTCTCCCAGTACAGGTTCAGAATCTACAATGAGTTTAATAAGGCCTATCATATTGCCTTCTTGTAGCCTGTTCCCCCAGAAGGCTTTGTTACGAGATATTAAATAACCTAGTCATCTTATTATTATTCTTATGATAGAACGGTTATTATCCACACATTCTTTCTGGATTATAAATTGTAATATGGAATTTTTGTTGTGTGATAGCCTTCCATAATTGGCCATCTTATGTGTCTGTGAAGATTCATGCACAATAATATCACTATTAAATTTCATGATCATTAAAAGAGTCAGATATTTTATTTTCTTCTAACACATTTTATTTTTTTTTGGTTAATATTTTTGGGCATATTTTGAAATTGGAAAAATAATTTATGACAAGAAATCTCGGATAACAACCTAATTTACTAAACATCGGTCAATACTAATTAAATTTATTAATAATAAGTAGGGGGGGGGGGGTCTTACTATTACATACATAAAGCAAAAATCAATTGGTTATGAATGGATGTAGCAAAACAATAAAGAAATTAACTCGAGTTCAGTGTGGTAAAAATTTGACTTTTAACATCACTATTTGTGGAGAACTTACTTTAAATAAAGTAAAATTTCTACATAAATATTGAAAGATAAACTTTTTGCTTCTCTATGTGGCTTTAAAAATTATATGAAATATTATTTTGACTATTGTTAAATAATGGAAATTGATTTTTTAAAATATTTATATTTAAATTTGTAATAATATTTTATATAACTTAAATTGGTATTATTTTGAATGAATCCCGGAAAAAAACCTACAGAAAAAAACCCTCAGGAAAAAAAACCCCACGAAAAAAAAACCCCGAAATTTTTTTTCGAATTTACTTAAGATCTAATAATATCGATATATTATTACAAAAACAATTTAAAAAGCAAGGTTACAGGCTAAAATAATCATAAGTTTCCATCAACATATTAAATAAGGTTATATTCAATAATACCAATTAAAGTTATATAAAATATCAATACAAATAAATATAAAAATAATCAATTTCCATTATTTAACATTCTCCCTCTTCTGAGATGTGAGAGCTTGTTGTTCAAATGGTCTGTAATTTTGGCTGTTTTTGTAGTAGCACCCATCATACCTTATCGTTGGCTTGATTCTATCACGTTGGTTTGTTAACATCGTTTTATAGTTGTGCTTAGGTTTGTTTATGTTGGCTTGTCGTCGTGCTCCGTCGTTATCATTATCAATTTTCAAGATTGTTATTATCATCAATTATTATTATCAAGTAGGATGATGGAATATATAAATAATAGGAATGATGTATAGAATTTGGAATAATTGATACGTGATATTAAGCGCACTATTGGTTCTCTAATAAGAGCCCATCTAACTGGGATAAAAAGATGAAATATTTAACTAAATAAGAGAAAACCATCCACGTTTTTTGGGCAGGCCGCAGTTACCTGTGCGCGCAAGAGGCAAAGCCCCTTACTTAAACGCCCATGGGAAAGTAAAAGGAGAGGTCAAAAGGCTCATGCCCGATTAAATTAAAGTTTATTTATGGAGGGGCTATATTGGCTATGTTAATTTTACTCTCAATTTGCATTGTGAGAAACCTAGAAATAATAACCTAGAAATAAGAAATGATTATAATATTCATCTATCATAAATAAAAAGCCCATGCCCGATTAAAATAAAACTAGATTATGGAAGGATAATATTGGCTATATTGATTTTGTTTGAAATAATATTGAGAAATAAATAATAACTCAGCTTAAATAAATATAATACATAATGTTAGAGTAGTATGCTAAAACTAAGGTTAAAGAAAACTTACGTTGAGCAATAATAAATTGAATAACCATCCAATGAGTGTACAGTATTAGGTTTAGGAATATAAAGGTTATGTAGAAAAATTTTGGAATGGGCTTGAAAATGGTAAAGAACCTTCCAAAGGGATTGAATGAATACATAGGAAAAAGTATCGATCTATAAGGTAGTTGGTTTTCATTTTAAGAAATAATTAGACATTGGAATAATAAATCAAAAAGATTGTTATATCATATTTTAATGTTAATTTATTTTTTGCGTTTTAGTGTTAATTTATATATTTTATTTTTATATTTGACTTTCATATCTTAAGTAACATAATCTTTTAAATAATTAGGTTTTGACTTAATTCTTATTGGTCTCGTTATTGGTGTTATTTTTTCATTTTTATTTGCGTCCGAGTCATGTTATATAAATGTATTATAGCATTTTCTTTTTCTTAACTGGTCCAGATGTCTCCTTATAATGCCTTTAACTTAGAACATGGTGTCACTTTCCTTCAATGTGATTGTCCCTTTGTCCCATGTATCATTTCCTTGTTCTTTATACCACACAAAATCCCCTACTTTAAAAGTTCTATTAAATGGTATCGTTTTATCAACTCTAGGCTTCTACCTTCGACAGAGAATATCAACTGAAATATGCCGGTCTAATTGCATATCCATACATGGGTCTATAAGCCCCGTTGATCATACCTAATTAAATGTTTATTATTATTTTATTTAATATAGTTTTTATATAAATTTTATTTTACAAATAGTTTACATGTTATTTTAAATATATATAATTTTTAAAAAATAAAAGAAATGAGCATCTAATTTCCTTTTCTTCTATTGGTTTAGATAAGTCCCATTTATAATATCACGATTAAACATTCTTTTCCCTGTTGTATTATTTGCTGTATTTCTGTAGTTGAATAAGAATTTGTCGAGTGAAGTGTCTAAATCAATCTTAATATTTCTTTTCATATGCGCCTTAAACGTCCTCACCATACGTTCAACCTGGCCATTGGACTGCCGGTTGGACACGGATGTTAATATATGTTTTATGCCGTTATCATTGCAAAATTTTTCAAAATCTTTACTCGTGTAATTAGTACCATTATCCGTAACTTCACTATCAGGTATACCAAATAGAAATAGTTTTATAAATTTCTTTTAGCGTAATTTCAGTTGTAATATTCTTAACAGGAACTATAATTGGAAATTTACTGTAGCGTCGACTATTATTAACCAATTTTTTGTGAAAAATGAACCCACATCATCTATGTGTATCCTTTCAAAGGGTTTAGTCGCCGAGATCCATGGATTTTGTATTTTCTTAGGATTGTCGTGATAAATATTACAATCCTCACAACTTTTAACTTTCATCTCTATGTCATTATTCATACCAGACAACCACATAAAATCTTTGACTAAGGATTTGATTTTACCTGCTCCCAAATGATCTACATGTAATGTCTGCAGTACGTTTTTTTTAAAGCTTGATGGAATAATAATTTTGTTGTTTTTGAAAAGACAATCTTTAATAACGCTAAGTTATAATTCCATATTTTCATATACTTTATTTTTTATAGGCTCATTATTCCTTATGTCATTTATAACGTAAGATAATTCTTATTCTTTGTAAGTTTTATCACGTATTTTATAAATTAATAGGTGTATCGGAAAAGTTATTTTCAATTTCAATATTATAAATAACATCATCACTAATTGTATTTACCTCAATTTGTACGCACTATAATAGTGCGTACAAATTGTGCGTTGCAACGCTGCGTTTCAAAACGCAAGCAATGCATTTTAAATGTATTCGTTCAAATTGTACACATTTCCGTTTTTCATTTAAATTATTTTTTTCAAAACGTAAACCTGCTTGCGTTTTCAAATTTTTTTGAAGTGGAGAAATGAATTCACCAGCAAAAATGTAAGTATAATTATCTTTAAATCATCATATATTAATTATGTTAGATCATGGAATGACCAAATCACAATGAGGTTTGCAGAAATGTTGGAACCAGAAGAGATTATATGGAATCAGGCGCATCCTGATCACAAGAAGACATTCGTTGTGATGGAACATCTTTCCATCATAGGAATTAAGTTAAATAATATATTATATTATTAATAATTTTATTTTTAGATTATCAGAAGAATATCCTGATTATGACTGTAGTGTTAACTACTTAAAAAAGCGTTTAAGAAATTTCAAGTATCAACTGAGCAAAGAAAAATTAGACAGTCTATCCGGATCTAGAGGAGGGGTGCATGAATACAAGTATAAGAAATATATTAATTTCATGCAATCCACTGTTGCTGACAGACTTACTGTCAGTAACTTCCAGGAATCCCCTCCTCCAATAAGGAAACCTGCCAAAAAATGATTTGCAAATTCTGATGAATGTATTGGAAAAAAAGTCATCTAGCATCCAGTAATTCTTATTTTTATCTATAATTTATTTATCTTTTATATAGACTCTTTTTGGATAGCCTAGTTGATACAATGGAAGGCTACAATTCCGATGAAGATTTTTTTTTAAAACAGGTTTTAAAACTAATGCAAATAATCAAGATCAATAGAACACAACCAACAGAAACTTTTAATACTATTATATAATTTTTATATTTATATTTGTTATATTGTTAATTTTTGATATATTGTTATTTATAAAATTTTTATATAATTAGTAGTTTATGTGTTAATTTTTGATATATTGTTATTAATAAAATTTTTATATAATTAGTAGTGGATAATTATGTGTTAACTTCTTCCTAAAATGTAATTTTAAAAATATAAATAAGATTGCATAAATATATAGCAAAACATGATTAATATTTGTAATTATTTATACTGGCTAAAGTTTTTCACTCTTATGATTGAGGGCAATTTAAAATATTTGCATTGTTAAGTTTAATATATATATAAATCAAGTCTACAACCTTCATCCCCATTATAAATCCTCAACTTTGGATCCCACTTCATTTAATCTATTACAATTAACACTAAGCTTACAAATATATAACTAAACTTAAAATTATTTCATGATCAATACTTTATTCAAATTTTATTTAATATTAATAAATTTATTATAATAGTAATATAAATAAATTTATTATAATAGTAATATAAATAAATTTATTATAATAGTAATATAAATAAATTTATTATAATAGTAATATAAATAAATTTATTATAATATAAAAATTTAAGAATTTATAAAATTTTTAAATTTATCCCTAATGATTTTAGATTCCTGTGAGCTTTAGTTGTTTTCCCTGCTTGCCAAAAATGGTCTTGTTGTAAGGTTAGCCAATGTAGGATCTGTATTGATGATAATATAATTTTAAAAATATATATAAATATGATTTTTATATATTTATTTAAATTTAAATACTAGTATTACCTATATCATCAATGGAAGCTGATCCTTCTTTGTATGATGTTATGTAGGATGCAAATAGCCTTTATCACTATCTCTATGCTAGGTAGTCCTATTTCTATTGGCTTACTTAGAATGTCAAATTTTTTGACTATTCCACCTGTCCTCGTATATGAGCTCCAGTATATAAGAAAATGTTGATCTTCTCATTCTTGTATAGTTATAAAATTGCGAATGTGTTAAATCGCCTTTAATATTAATATATTCTGAAAAAAGATTTCTTTTAACAAATATTTTGGATGTCTTGCTCTTCTTCCTTCCTTTATTTCTTTGTAGTAAATACAAAGCAAGTAATTTTTTTTGTTTTAAATTTAAATGTTTCATATTGAAAAAATAAAAGTTAACGCATCAATTTATACATGGCTGCGTTTACGTTTTTTATATGCGTTTTAAAACGCTGCGTTGCAACGCACAATTTGTACGCACTATTATACATTAAGTTAAAGTCGTAACCCCCCAAAGTTATATTCCATTTTTGTAACTGTTGGAATCGTATTAATATCCACATTTTATTATAGTTAGGTAATTATATCACATTTTATTTTTAATCATAATTTAAATTTTATTATTTGATAAATTACATTTTTATTTTTTTTATCCTCATTACATTTTTTTTTATCCCTTTATATATCTAAACAATAATAAAAAAAAATAACTAATACAAATTGATCTATCAAAAAAATTTTAATATAAAATTTTGACAGATTAAATTTAAATACAAATTGATATATAAAGAAATAAATCAATTGCCAAAATAAATAATAAAATAACATAGATCAACATATTCAACAGTAACTTTAAGGACATGGTGCTATTGTCCTTGAGTACCTTGGTAAAATTATGGACTAGTGGTTTATGGTCCGTAATGATAGTAAATTTAGTCCCAATCAAATATTCTGGAAATCTTTTAATTGCGAACATTATGGCAAGAGCCTCACGCTCAATATTGGTAAAATTTATTTCAGATTTTGCTAAGATTCTTGACGCAAAAGCTATAGGTTTTTCTTTGCCATCTTTTTCTGTGTGAAATAATACAGCTCCTAATCCACATTTAGATGCATCAGTCGCAATTCCGATAAGTAATTCCGGATTAAAATAAGTCAAAGCTGAAGGAAGACTTGTCAACATCTTTAAATCATTAAAACTTCTGGAATGTTCTAAGTTCTATTCCCATTTTTCTTTGTTGATAATTTTGTATATAGGATCAGCAATTTCAGCAAAGGTATTCAAAAATTTTCTATAATAACCAGCCATACCCAAAATGTTGATAACTCAGCAGCTGATTTTGGCTCTGGCATTTTAATTATTGCTTCCATTTTGTCATGGTTAGCATGAATCCCCTTGTCGTCTATATCGTGACCCAGGGACCTAACTTTGTATTTAAAAAATAAGCTTTTGGTGAAGTTAGGTACTAAACCGTACGATAATATTCTCAAACACCTTTTGATGTTGTTTAAATGTGCTTCATCGTTACTTTCAGTTATTAGTAAGTCATCAATATAAAATATAACATCTTTCACATCACCGAATATCTAATCCATGATTTGTTAGAAGATAGCAGATAAAGTTTTTAGCCCAAAAGGAAGTCTAGTAAATTGGTAGTATCCCTTATGTTTGGATGTAGTCAAAAGATTTCTGCTATTTAGAAATGCATTTTTGAAATCGATTTTGGTAAATTTCTTTCCTTCCGAAAGTTTAGCTATTAGATCATTTATACTTGGAAGTGGGTATCTAAAATTTTATAGAAATGGATTTATAGTGTCTTTAAAATCAACGCAAAGCCTGATGCTCCCATCATCTTTGTATACGGCGGTTATAGGACTCACCCATCGCACATCTTCTACCGGTTCAAATTTTTTCATGTATCCATCTATTCAGTTCTTCGCCTACAAGATCAATCTTTGAATAAGGTATATGTCTTGGTGATATTATTTTAGGTTGGGCGTCACATCTTAAATGTAATTTGACATATTTTTAGTTCAAGGGTTTAAGATTCCATTAAAAAATTTTTTTTGCTTCAGGGGGCTATTCAAATTTCCCAGGGGCTCGAGCCCCTGCGCTCTCCCTAGCGACGCCACTGGCCATCTCATGAGGTCTAGTATAATGGTAAACTTTGATCCAGTATCGACTTGCATAGTTGTAGTAACATTATTTAATTTCAAATTAGTCATAAAAGCACTGTCATCATATTTGTCTGTATTTTCAGTCAGGTTCTTGATAATCATTCTTATTATTGTCTTTGGCAGTGTCAACTTTATTTTCCCCAACTTCTTCAATGTTCATATTACAATTATTGTTATCGTAGCAATTTTGATTATCATACTGGATTTGTTTTCTTTGATTAAAATTCTTCCACCTATTACTATAGTCATATTCGATTTGTTTTCTTTGGTTATCATTATTATGCCACCTGTTATTTCCTTCATAATTATTTGAATGTTATTAAAAGATCGATAATTATTATGATTTTGATCGTCACATTGAATCTGTCCTCTGATTTTAATTACACCAGGCGTTGTTCCTACCGTAGTTGTTGTTATAAGATTGATAATTATTATTATGAAAGTTGCTATTGTTATACCGATAATTGTAATTTAGATAGTTGCCATCAATATACTGATTATTTCTATAGTTATTGCTTTTATAATTATTATTGTTCCTATTATTACTAAAATTCCCATTCCTGTTGTCATTAACATTACTAAAATTGTTATTAACATAATTCCTATTCCTAATGTCAAAATTTTGCATCGTATTATAATTAGGTCTATTATAGTTAGTAATATTCTCTTCCTATTAGAAGTATTTTGGTTATCTAAATTCTTGTAATTATTTCTATTATTATTATTATCATTATTTTTATTAAATTTTTTATCCCTACTAAAAACATAATTAACATTGTCACTTTCTGATTTAATGTTAATACTATCTAATTTTTCTCCTATTTCAATCATTTCATCTAATTTATAGTTAATATTTTTATTTAATTTATTTTTTATATTGTCATTTAAACTAGATGTTCTCAGTTTTTCTTTTATGCGATCTTCATTAATTAAATTACATTGTCTACCCAACTTATAAAGTCTAAAAAACCAATCCATGAAAGATTCCTTAACGCCTTGTGATGCAAGGTTAAATTTATTAGTTAAGATCCAAATATCTTGACTAGGTATAAGGTATTTAACGACAACTCTTATGATCTTTGATATCTACTTAGTACATAATGACTTGATTTTATCGTATAGGTCATCAGATAAATACCTCATCAATGTTTCAATTTTTACTGAGTTGGATAAAATTGTTTGAGAAAAATAATCAATAAGTCTCTCCAAGTAAGTGTGTCCTTTTATATCGAATAGTTTGTATAATTTATTACATAATTCCAAAATATTTTTTTTATTTTTTTTTATAATTATCGGCATAGGCACAATATTTATAGGATTTTTTTATATATCATTGTACGTGAACAACTATATATAAATTTTAATTTTTATAGCATAATTTATGCTTTACCCAGCACCAGCTGTCTAACTCATTTTTTTAAAAATAAAATTTTCTTTCATTTTTTTTAAAATTTAAATTCGCCTCTTCTTAAAAAAACAATCCAATTCAAACTTACCCCTCGTTATCTGTATCAAATACCCCTCCAATTAGTCTCAGAATTTCTAAGACAAACAACTATAAGAATTTGCAAAAAAATACACTGCATAATTCCCTATTAATTTCAACAATTCACGTATCACATAACCCTCAATTATATCAAATATTTTCAAACATTAAACTAAATAACTCGATTAGTTTACGAGATAAGGAAATACATATCAGATATTCTCAATTAATTTAAAACCCCCTTCTCAATTTTTCCGGTTCTATCCTTGTTCGAAGCTGATCTTGGTGTCGAGTACCTTCTCTTCCGTCATTCTACTTAACTCAATTTGCTTCCCATATTTTATAAAATCAATTCGGACTCCCATTTTTTGTTACCCCCAAACACTCTCACCCATACTTTCTGTCCTACAATAAATTCAGATTCATCCTTTGTCTCGGTCAACCCCTTTCTTTGCACTGCTGGCCTCGAATCCAGCGAAATCCTAGCTCTCCTTCCTAAAAACCTCTCCGCGGGCGATTGCTGCTCCACTTTATTTTACTGTTATTGTAATATGCC